ACCTGGCTCCTGGTTTCGGTTCGGCACAGCGCGCCGGCTGTGGCGGCCATTTGGGGGGTGAACCAACGGAAGGAAGACCTTTCTCTCTGTCTCTCTCTCACTGTCTAACTCTGCCTGTCAAAAAAAAAAAGTGTTTTTCAGGGCAATTCAAAATCATCAAAATCATCAACAACATCTCTACAGAGAAGCATCCAATGTTGTCTGTTGTGGATATAACTAGAAGTAGTTGAGTAAACCAAGTTTTCTTGGCATTTGTGCTGATTGTCACTAGTTTCGCACTCAATTAACTACTGCCCTGTGGCATTTCCTCAAACACCCATAAATGTCTTTTTCAGTGTGGTGATTCTGTGTTAACATTCCAAGACTGCACTTGTTATTCTCCCAAATACGGTCTTTAGGTTCCTGACTACCAATTACCATATGTTGCATACCCTGGTTTCCCAAAGGATTTTTTTTTTTGACAAAGGCAGAGTTGACAGTGAGAAAGAGAGAGAAAGGTCTTCCTTTGCCGTTGGTTCACCCTCCAATGGCCACCGCGGCCAGCACGCTGCGGCCGGCACACCGTGCTGATTCGATGGCATGAGCCAGGTAATTCTCCTGGTCTCCCATGGGGTGCAGGGACAAAGGACTTGGTCCATCCTCCACCTTGCGGCGCCGGCACACCGGGTTCTAGTCCCGTTCAGGGCACCGGATTCTGTCCCGGTTGCCCCTCTTCCAGGTCAGCTCTCTGCTGTGGCCAGGGAGTGCAGTGGTGGCCATTGGAGGGTGAACCAATGGGAAAGGAAGACCTTTCTCCCTGTCTCTCTTTCTCACTGTCCACTCTGCCTGTTAAAAAAATAAAAATTAAAAAAAAATATTAAAAAAAATAGTCTATCTGAAGTTGACCTGAGGGACATCCTTGTTTGAGTGGCATGGGGGCTATGATATTGGGATACGGAGATATTGGGAAGGAAATGAAATCAGAGCACAGAACCTGTCTCTGCATTGCAGTATTTACATGATTTCCATTTGTTTTCCAACTTTCAGAATACATATGAAGATAAACCATCCATCTTCAAAGTATACCCTAAAGATAAAAGTGTCTGTAGAAGAGGCAGACAAGGCTCAGACTGGATGCAGACAGAGGTAGAGGCATCAAAAGCCTAATTTTATAAGGTGGATAGGATGGCAAGAAATCTCATCTGAAGTTGATGGAACAACAGCCAAAATTATAAGCATATTTGTTAAAGTTCAAAGAATTACCGAAGCAGAACTAGAAACATCCATGTTAACTACATGGGAAGAAATATAAGTGAGCTAAAAATCCTTACCTGTGACAGACAGTAGGAATAGCAATGTTGAAAACAACATCAGAGAATGTAAAGTACCCCAAGTCATCAGAGCTAAACAAAGCAGGGAGAATCACTCTGGGGCAGAGTCGGAGAGTGAGAGGTCTGGGGTGAGGTACAGGGCCTGTTGCTTGTCAAGCTGACTGCTCTTCAACCAAGTGAACACAGAACTTAAGGACTGGAAAAAGAAAAACACACCAAAGGCAAAAGGCGATTGTGAAGACACTAACAGAGAATCTGTAAAGCTGTGTTTGTGGTTACCCATATTAGAATGGAAATGAAAAAGAGAGAATGAGACAAAGCCATTAGACCCTTAAGAAGAAGAACAATATTTATGTCTGTTTGATGAGAGCCGGTACCAGTCCTTTTAATAGCTACAATAATTTTAAGTTTCATTGCCCTAATTTGGATTTGGTAACGCAGTCAACATCATTCCACTCAGCAAAAGACAAAAGCTAATGTGTTCCAGGTATTATACCACATGTTAATGTTCAAAATAAATAGTTTTATTTAATATAGGTTTATATCTATGAGCACCAGTCTGTCCTTACAACATTTCCATCTCAGTAATGACATGATCACCAGCTACTTCAAACCAAATACCAGGAAATCACCCTGATTTCCTCTTTTTCCCTTGTTCCAGGCATCACCCACCAAGGGTCCCACCAGCTTCTATCTCCAGGATCTTTCCCAACCCACTGACTCCTCCACCCACCCCCCTATAATCCCCCCTGCCAAGCATCTGCCACATCCCTCACTCAGCTACTGCAGCAGCCCTCCTGGTGTCACTGCTTCAGCTGCTGTCCTCTGTTATCCGAATGCCAGGCTGAGTGATCCATGTACACGGAAAATATGCTCTTCCCCTGCTCAAAATCTCCCCCACGCTCCCATTTTAGAATAAAAACCATCTCATTACTCCCACGGCTTTCAAGATCCTGGCCACTCTGGTTCATGAGACCTTCTGTCCTCGTGCCACTAAGCCTCAGCTCCACAGGCCCTGAGGCAATGTCTTGTATAGATCATGCTTATGTCCCTACAATGAACTCTGTCCTTGCCCCCCGGAGCTGCCTGGAATGACCTTCATTCAGACCTCACCTCACAGGCCCTTAGAGAGGGATCTTACCTCACCTCATCCATTCTATTACATTATTCAAGTGTATTTCCTGCATTGACCCTCTAAGAATCTGATGAAAATTAATATTCCTGTGCTTTTATTTTACTTGTTTGCTTATTTATTTTTCTGCCTCATCCCACCATGAATATGATTTATACTTCAGAAGAACAGAAATCTTATTTATTTGGCTAACTAACACATATCAAAAATCTAAAATATTTCCTGGCTTATAAAATGGATTTGGAAAATATTTGTGGGTGAGTTAACCTCAACACTCGAGGCTATCTTTACCTTTTAAAGTTCTTGAAACCTTAATCGAGTTAAAATGTGAGAGAAAATATAAAGTCCTTTCATATTTTCTAAAGTACATTATAAAGAAAAAGGTTAAGCCCTCAATGTATATAGAAAATGTTAGGCTAACATCCAAAGGGTTCAGTGAAGTAGGCTCATTCGTAACATGCATCATGAAGATCCTCACACGTCTACACTGCTCCAATCACAAGTGTAAACAGGGAGAAGAGAAAGTAGGGGGAGAGGATGCTTTTAGGGAAGGGAACAAAGGCAAAAGTCAGGGGTGGGAAGGGTGCCAGTGATGAGCTGATTCCCACAGGGTGCTCTGGCTTGAAGGACACAGTTCTCAAGAGAATTGTTGCTTAGAAATGCTCCCCATAGCTATCTTCTGGAAACCAACAGGGAGACTCAGTTCTCTCCCTATGGACAACCATATTTCTTCCCATCCTCCACTGATACCTTAGTCCTCCCTAATCCTCTTATTATTACCCCTTCTAGGTGTTGACGAAAACCCTGACCATGTATCCAGTAAGTGCATGACTGTACAACTGAACAGCAGTTTAAGAATACAGAGTAACATTTCTTTCAAGAGCCCTCTAATTTCTTGTTTTGTATTCAGTTGAGTAGAGAGAATAAAGAAGTAGTACAGAGTCAATGAATAAAGCAAGAATAACAAGCAACCACAACAAGAAGAGAGAGAGAGAAATTCCTCATTTTGAGGGATTCTGTTTATTTGTGTTTGCTTTTCACGCTGTGCCCTTCAAAACACCAGGACTGGGAAAACTTAATTCTCCCGAACACCAGCTTGAAAAGAGGTGAAGGATAAGAGGCAATCTGGTGGTAGACTGAAGGACAGAAAGAGTGAGAGACGAGTGGTATGACTCTGTTCTCAGTTTATTACAATGCCAAGTGAATGACCAATAAGATGGTTTATGTCTGAATTATAACAAAGAAAAATGAAATAATGAGGGGATAGTCTTAATCACAAAGCAAGTGCTATATATAGCAAGTGTTTGCCTAGTATAATTCCAGAAAACACCTCACTAATCCTTAATTCACCATAGTCTGAGGTTCTGACTCTACAACACCACAGACTTCTTACAGAGGAGAAGAAAAAAATTAGTATTATTCTATTCTTCTAATAGAAGGAAAAGATCTACCTAGCTGTCAATGGCTACTAACTTATCATATTTTTAATTTCAGCAGGAAAATTTTCAATTAAAAACTCAGAAGAAGGAATTCTTCACAAGTCACAGCACAATCCAAAAAATTTTCTTTCAGATGCAAAGTATCAAAAAGATTTCGGACTACACCATGCCATTTATATGTCTAAAACTAAAGGGAGAAGAAGGATGTAATGGATAAGGATGAGGAAGGAAAAAATCCAAATATAGGCACTCAGTTATTCACTACCACATCCTGATCTCAGCCAGCATTCATTCTCATTGTTTTCAGAATGCATTATTATTTCACTCTTTGAACCACAGCGTATCTATTGAAGAGGGAAGAGGATAAGAGCAGAGGAAAACAGTTGGCAACAGAGGAACAAATGTCATGATCTCACAGCAATGAGAACCTGTTACTCTCTAATACATACCTACTCTGAGCCCCACACAAGTGAGCCACCAGCCCTTCAATTTTCTTACGAGTACTGCATATAGGGAATTCTTACACATCTGGGTTTCAGATGCATATTCATCACAACCAATGTCACCCATGTCCCACATACCTGAGAAAGATTAGCAACACTCTGGTTTGGGCATGACAATGCAGCTGTGCTGAATACGCCTTTCAAGTTACAGTTCTGCACTATGAACTCTCTTAGTGAATGGGAGCTGGGGGAGAGGTCAGACTGTGCTGCTCATGTTGACATTCTGTATATAAATGAGAGAGGAATGCATGGAAATAGCATCCTGGGGCCCATGGAAACCTGCAGCCCACTGGGAGACATACTTTGCCCTGTGGAACTGCTTCTGAAGGGATGCCCATGACCAGTATAGTCAGAAATACTGATTTAAAAGCACCTTTAAATAACTGCTGATGGAAGCAGGCTAGAAAATTGGTGTGTCGCCATCCGTTAATACAAGGAGTTTTGGCAAATAAACAATACTCTAGTCATAAAGGAACGTGAGCTGTGGAGCTGCAGAGGGGTGGAACACTTGTATCCATGTTCTTTTCAAATTATAGGGTGATCACACAAATGCACATCACAGCTCCTATTTCAACTGCAATCCAGTTCTCGGACAGAAGTGAATTCTTCTACTTACATCAAACGGAGCTGAACTCGATTGGGCATTCTGATTACATGGTTCCCTGAAGCAGTCACTGAAAGGAAGTAGGAGACCCATGGCAATGATCCGTGAGCAAAACTTCTCTGCTTCTTCTGGAGGCCCGTTCTCCTGCTGGCTGAATAGCTTCTCCAACAGAGTCCTCCCTGCGGATGAAATACACTCATTAGGAGGGAGGCTGGCGGTTCACCCAGCTGAGAAGCCTCCCAGAGGAGACAGACCAGGTACACAGTCAGTGAGCAACATCATTTCCAAGGCTACAGCCCTGGGCAGTAAGGCGCCTCTCAAACTCAGAAACACTCTGCAGTCAGCGTCCACGGACACCATGCATGAAATGGCAGATCAGGTTCACTCGCCCATTCCCCAAATATCTTCAGCCTCCATCCAAAGGGAATGAGCCAAGTCGTGGGCTGCACATCTCCCATCTGAATGAAGAAGCCCCCACCTTAGGGATTCCATTGGCAATCTTCCTCCTGCTCTGGTTACCCTGCAGATGGTTCTCTAAGGAAGCAGTCAGTAACCCAAGTGCCACCATGTGGGCCTGGAAATGTCAGTGGCTGACATTCGTGGTGCCAGGCACGGTGCTGGGGGGGGGGCAGGAATGAAGAAAAGGAGGCCCTGAGAATGAAAGGGAGGTGGTGTGCAGGAAACAGTTGCGCTGAAGGAGAAAGAAAGATACACAAAATTGTCTCAGATATTCCTATGAAACATCAGTCTAAGGTAGGCCCAAGCTTCTCCTTGTTTCCCTAAAAGAGACAAGAGACACACACTGGGAAGACACTGACAGAGGACCTGGGTCTACCTGCGCCAGGGTTCTCCATCTCAGCCCTATCTTCGAATCACCTGAGAACAGGACCTGGGAAGCAGTACTTTCTTAGTCCCCAGTTGGTCCTCACGTTAGCCAGAGGTAGAGGACAGGTCCGGTCCCAAAAGTATTTTTGACACTAGAAGCTCCCTTGCCTTAAGCAAACTGTAAGCACATCTCCGTAAAAATTAAGAGTGGAAATGGGAGAGGGAAGAGGAGGGTTGGAGCGTGGGTGGGAGGGAAGAAAGTATCACTATGTTCTTAAATCTGTTTCATGAAATATATGAAACTTGTATATCTTAAATTAAAAAAAAAATCTCTAGGGTCCCTTTCACAGCAACCGTCTCCTCACTGTCAGCCCTGCTGCTGCCCATCCTCCAGCCCCTCTAGTTAGCAGATCCATTCTTTAAATTTAGATCAAAATCACCTGTCCTGAAAAGTCTTCAGTGACCTTCTTCCACACCCTTCTGGAACTCTTTATGGCTTCTTTATGAAATTAACCACTTTAATTAAGTGCTTTGCAGTCATATGTTTAGTGCCTACCTCCCTCACTAAATCATAAACTCTCTGACAGCCAGCATTTAGCTTGCAACTGTACTCACACATAGAAAGCATTGGTGAATACTTGTAGGGTTTCTCCTCTAATACAACAGTACGATTCTGTGACTCCGATGAATTCACATCATGGTGGGAACTGGAAGTGAAGTACCAGTCTCTACCAATTTTTTTTTCTGTAAAAGGCCAAACAGTAAATATTCCTAGCTTAGAGAGCCATAAAAGGTCTCTGTTGCATATAATTGGTTGGATTTAGGCATCATTTTTTAACAACTTTGTAAATAAATATAACAATAATTTTCCCTTAGAGCCCAAGCAAAACAAAATGCATACCCATACTTCAGTTACAACAACTAAATTTCAAAAAAAAAAAAAAATAAATGTGCAGTTCCGACAATAGTCATGTGATTTCTGTACCTCTTGGTGTTTCTGACTGTAAAGCAAAACTAATCACAAGATCTCTGGTATTGGCAGTGACAATGAGAAAAGAGGCCTTTCTACCTGCTCCATTCCTTCAGGGCACCAGTCAACATTCTTTGGTCTCCCAGGACATACTGTAAGGATAAATAAGGATTTTTTTTCCCTATAGAAGTTAAGTGTGCCTGTACATAACTGGAACTAAATACCTAGGAAATCATCCCCTTCAGTTCTCAAGTGATAGATTATCTTTTTTTTAATCTTTTTTTTTTTTGACAGGCAGAGTTAGACAGTGAGAGTGAGAGTGAGAGAGAGAGAGAGAGAGAGAGAGAGAAAGGTCTTCCTTCAATTGGTTCAACCCCCCAAATGGCCGCCACGGCTGGCACACTGCGCCGATCCAAAGCCAGGAGCCAGGTGCTTCCTCCTGGTCTCCCAAACGGGAGCAGGGCCCAAGCATTTGGGCCATCCTCCACTGCCTTCCCAGGTCACAGCAGAGAGCCGCACTGAAAGAGCAGCAGCTGGGACTAGAACCCAGCCCCGATATGGGATGCCGGCACCACAGGCAGAGGATTAGCAAAGTGAGCCAGGGCACCAGCCCCCTGGGGAAGTTGTTGTGCTGGAACACTATTCCTTAGGACAGATGAGGACTCACCTCCTCCTTCATTTCTTTTCTTTTCTTTTTTTTATAGGCAGAGTGGAAAGTGAGAGAGAGAGAGAGAGAGAGAGAGAGAGAGAGAGAGAGACAGAGGGAAAGGTCTTCCTTTGCCATTGGTTCACCCTCCAATGGCCGCAGCGGCCAGCGCGCTGCAGCCAGCGCACTGCGTTGATCCAAAGGCAGGAGCCAGGTGCTTCTCCTGGTCTCCCATGTGGGTGCAGGGCCCAAGCACTTGGGCCATCCTCCACTGCACTCCCTGGCCACAGCAGAGAGCTGGCCTGGAAGAGGGGCAACCAGGACAGAATCCAGCACCCCGACCAGGACTGGAACCGAGTGTGCCGGCGCTGCTAGGTGGAGGATTAGCCTATTGAGCCACAGCGCCGGCCCTCCTTCATTTCATTCAGACCTCCACTCAGCCATTAGTTCCACCGAGAGAAATTCTTGACCACCCTTCCTAAAACAGCACAACCCCGGGTCCAGCGCTGTGGTGCCACAGCTTAAAGCCTGCAGCACCAGCATCCCATATGGGTGCTGGTTCAAGTCCTGGCTGCTCCACTTCCAATCCAGCTCCCTGCTAATGGTCTGGGAAAGCAGAAGATAGCTCAAGTGCTTGTGCCCACTGTCACCCACATGGGAGACCTGGAAGTGCTTGGCTCCTGGCTTCATATAGGCTCAGCTCCAGCTGTTGCAGCCATTTGAGGAGTGAACCAATGGAAGGAAGTCTCTTCTCTCTCTCTCTCTCTTCCCCTCCCTCCATCTGTAACTCTTTTAAAGAAATAAAAGCAATCTTTCAAAAAAATAGCACATCCTCTCTCTCATTTTGCCATTATCCACCTTACTCATTCTTAAAACCCAGCCCTTGAATGTAAGCTGGTCTGTGGTCTGTCTTCTGGTGGAATATAAACACCCTTTTATCAGATTCTATTGGTTGGCTACCACATTCTGCCCAGGACTTCAAGGAATGTCTGGCAATGAGTAAAATCAGTTAAATTTTCTATGACTGATAAATTAAAAGCTTCAGAAGACAATTTGGACACAGGTGTCAATGATTTTTTTTTTTTTACAGGTAGAGTGGAGGACAGTGAGAGAGAGAGAGACAGAGAGAAAGGTCTTCCTTTTTGCTGTTGGTTCACCCTCCAATGGCCGCCATGGCTGGCGCGCTGTGGCCGGCGCACCGCGCTGATCCGAAGGCAGGAGCCAGGTGCTTCTCCTGGTCTCCCATGGGGTGCAGGGCCCAAGCACTTGGGCCATCCTCCACTGCACTCCCTGGCCACAGCAGAGAGCTGGCCTGGAAGAGGGGCAACCGGGACAGAATCCGGTGCCCTGACCCGGACTAGAACCCGGTGTGCCGGTGCCGCTAGGTGAGGATTAGCCTAGTAAGCTGCTGTGCCGGCTGTCGATCTTAAAAACCTTCATCCCGGACCTGCGGCAAGATGGTGGAATAGGAAGGAAGCACACTGATAGTCCGGGGAGAGACAGTTTAATAAAAGTGGAGATACTGCAGGTTCAAGGAAGAGTAGGGGAAGAAACAGCAGAAGAAACTCTTCCGAAACTAGTGATTCACAGCGGACCTGCGTGGAGAGCCTGGGAGCCCACTGTTCGGGACACCAGCGGCAGACTCAAACACCAGCGCTGGAACGCGAGGTGAGCCGAACCTCAATAGCCCGAGACACAGGCAGGCAAGCAGAAAGAGGAGACTAGAGGGAACGACCCTGAGGGGAAAAGTTCACCAGGCTAACTAGAAGAGAGAGAGAGAGAAAAAAAAGTGACCGATACGGACACGGGTTTCTCTCTTTCCGCTCACCTCTCAAAGGCGAGCAAGACAAAGAGCAGGCGCCATCTTGGACATACGTCATAAGCAGAGCGACCTCAGGTCTGCACCGGCCCTGAGCCTAGCAGAAAAACCTGACTCTGGGCGGGATGAATTAACAGGAGATTAGGACCTAGTGAATCTGTGGTGCTACTGAACCGAGACTGTGAAAAAAGAGACGGTGGGGGAGAGAACTCACGGAATTCACGTGAGTACTCTCCAGAGACGCTACAATTCTGTAACTTTGGAAACCCATTGGGAGACTGAAAGAGAATTTGAGCCCACTCAGAGGGCAGAACAGATTCCCTGTGGGGTCCTTGGGAAAGAGCTTCCGATCTCTGGCTCCTGTGGGTATATCATTTGCCTGCTAAATACCTCCAACTTCGTTCAGCTGTGTGGAATTATTTCCCTTTTGAATCAAAAAAAAAAAAAAAGAAAGAAAGAGAGAGAGAGAGATCTACCATGCCTAACCTGGGAGTGTCACCTTTGGCACACCAAACAGAGCTCTCAGGCCACACCCATCTCAAGCCTCTAAGGCTCCATCAAAAACAGACAGTCCACTTAATCTAGAGTCATAGTATAACAAGAAAAAGCACCACAGTGAAAAACCAAATATCTCCAATATGCCAAATAACAAACGCAAAAACCGAGGTAATAAAAACAAGGAAGTCACTATGACGCCCCCAAATGAAAAAGACACCCCAATTCAAGATTATGAAGATGATGAGATAGAAGAAATGCAAGAAGCAGATCTCAAAAAATTGATAAGAACATTAAGAAGTTCTCAAAAACAAATTCTTGAACTACAGAAATCCTTAATGGACAAGACAGAAAATCTCTCTCGTGAAAATGAAATATTAAGGAAGAATCAAAATGAAATGCAGAAACTAGTAGAACAGGAAAC